CTCAAGGACAGCGTATGGCCTTCGGCTACGCCGACTATAGACCGAGGCGATTCCTCTAGGCTCGGCGCCCACCCAGTCCAACAGAGGGTCTTCTACGGTGTCGATCAAACTCACAGCCTCATCGGCACTTTGTTCCTCCCTTTCGGGGCGTCCAGAAGAGCACGGCTCGTCCGCCATGGTTACCTACAGAGCACGGGAAACTAGTCAATTGGGCACGAAACCATACGCTCGTCGAAACAGACAAGATGGAGTGCGCGACAAACCACGTCGCCCCATGCACGACCACAAAGTTGGTTTGAAACAAAAATAGCAGTCGCCTCCCCGACTTCCATCGACGGGTCCTTCTGCAAGCCGCCTAAACAAACCGACAACGCGGTCACTCATGAATACGCCGACCCGGGGTATGAACATGGCGAGCAACATCATAAAGCCTAAAGCCAGAGCCATGAGCATACCGGGCACGATCATGAATTAGGCGCCCTGGATCATGAAGACCCCGGGCAGCACTGCAGATTATAACCTAAACCATGCATCTACCGGCCACGAGCATGTGTTTGCCGACCCTAAGCATGAACTTGTCGAGCTAAACATGAATTTACCGGGCTAGTCCCACGCGCACAGCCTCTAAAAACGTCTAAAACGATGAAACTCATGCATCAAAACAGAAAAACAGAGAAGATAAGTCACTTACTTGGAATCAAGGAGTGGACTCGGCAACGGAGGAAAGGAATCGGTGACGGAGATCGCGGCGATGCTATGAGAATCTGGAAGAATAGCAGCAGCAGAAGCGCGAAGAGTAGTAACGCGTTATGGGGCCCCAGGATCCTATTTATAGTGATGACGTGGAATACCAAACGTCACCTCGGGCAACCACAGAGTTTCTCTCCTCGACACACGGCTCCCTAGGCAATAATGACCCTATCCTCATAGGGTGGTGGCACAGTTCCCAAAAGATACCTCGTGTGCTCGACAGACGCGCGCCGTTAAGGAATCCCCGAGCATTCCCTGCGAAGAGCACCCCCACGAGGAGCTGCGTCTCTGACCCGGGCACGAGGCCCCGAAATGGAAGCAACCTAAGATCAAGCCATGGCTCCTAACCCAAGGAACCACGACTTGGGGGGCTCCTGTTCTGGACTGGGCCCGACTGGCCCAATAGCATTGATAAGGCCCAATCCAAACGGACTTGTTGGGGGCCACACCGACCAAAGGATCACAGCCGTGCCCGACGTGCTCTCTGGGGCTACTTGCTCGACCTCCTACTGTCCAGCTCGACCTCACCTCGAGCACCCCTCTTAGGGAAGACTCAGTCCACTGCACCCTCAACGGGACTCCGAGAAGACCGCGTCTCTGTCCGCCCGCACTTCACGCAGAACATCCAGGGAGGGGACCACGTGCGGGTCCCCACTACGCACGTAGAACCTGGCAGTTCCTCCATTGGGCCAAACCTGCCCGGCCCAATGAAGGAACCTTGGCCCAGCGCTGGGGGCTATAAATACCCTCTGTTTCCAGAGGGTCAGGTATTCATCATTCTACCCAGACTCTTACTATTGCCTGCTCGTGCTCTTACTCACTTCAGCATCAGAGTGTCTTGCAGGTACCCCCCCCCCCCCCACCTCGTTCAAAACTTCAACTCGGAGTCAGCCGTGACGGTCCAAGTCTGATCAGGTCAGATCATATATATATATATATATATATATATATATATATATATATATATATATATATATATATATATATATATATATATATATATATATATATATATATATATATATATATATATATATATATATATATATATATATATATATATATATATATATATATATCAGAGAAATGACTCGTATTGTATTAAGGTTTTGGATGAATAAGTGGTGTCCAAGTATCTTGGGTTATGTATGTTTAACCCATTAATACTCTCGGCGCTCCCCGTGATGGGTCTTTATGAGGGAGAAGTATCCATATTGCGTCAAACACTCACCTAAAGATCAAAGGCTCATCCAAACAAGTGAGAGAGACATTACATATTCATCCAAAACCTTAAGGTGATAGGTGTATGGGTCATCTCAGTTATAAAGTGCTCAACCTCCATTTTTCCAAGCAACGTGAGACTAATAAGTCACATTTGTTTCTCAATAATCTCTCCCTCAAGTATGAGTTCATCCACTATGCTCTCCCTCAATCGAAAGCTCTTTCATCCATATAGTTCTACCACCATTGACAGACACCTTTACCATGTCAGGGGTGCTTCAACAGAACACACCGCCTAACCACCACCGTGTCAGGAAAACATTCGATACAAAGAGTCGATCTTTTACTCAAACTAGACTCTGATACCACTAATGGATCCTCATGAAGAGGAAGCATCCACATTAGGTCAAACACTCACCAAAAGATCAAAGACTCACCTAAAAAAGTGAGATACATCACATATTCATCCAAAGGTGATATGCGTATGAAGCTTCTCACTGATAAAGTGTTCAACCTCCACTTTTCTAAATAACGTGGGACTAACAACTGACATTTGTTTCTCAATATCTCGAACTCCTCAATAAATGATATCGGAGTCATGGTTAGACTCGGTGGGGAGCAGAAGTGAAATCTTAATATAGATCAAAACTAGTGATGTGGGTGACTCACACTTGTGAGTGAGATTGTTGAATTCAAGTGTGAATGGTTAAGTCTCACATCAACTTGAAATGAAAAAAAAAATTAAATATATTAGAAAAATAATTCATGCACCCATTTTCATAAAATTTTGAATGAATATAAGATATCAAAATTTCTTAGATCCTAGACGTTTAACCTATTGACTCTCGACATTTTTTAAACTCCTTAAAAGTGAATTGTATAAAAAAAATAGAGATATAGTGGTATGGGAAGAAGTTTTACACCATAAGTGAATCGTAGTAGTTAAAATTTTATAAATATTTAACTTTTCTTTAATCACATATATATTTGTGAATGATTGTAATGTACTGATTGTATAAAATATTTTATACCGACATTACATGATAATTAATCTCTTAAAAAATCATTAAAAGTATATTTATTTTATTTAAAAAAATCATTAGAAATAAAAAATAAAAGATGTGACAAAAAAAAACTATTTATACGGTGAACTATCTATTTTAATGTCTCATTTTGTGTTATAGCACATCTCTATTTGCTCCTATATAAAACTCTACATGATCAGACTACATCTGCTCTGCTCCTCATAATTCACATTCTTTAGTAAGAACATCCATCAGCCAAACATTGCGTTACTTAAAAAATAAATACAACTTGTCACACACACAAAAAAAAAAAACATTCTGGTTCACAAGAGTGTTACTTTATTCATTGACAAGTATAAGAGTGTTAGTTGGTATACGACTATGAAGTGGAGTAACATCATCTCTATTTCAACAGTTCTTTCATTTCGTGCATTACTAAAGTTGGAATATAAATATAACAATGTAGTATTTGATAGATACATTTAATTTTTAACATTACATATATTTTTAAAACTATAGTAACGAAGAGAAAAATTAAAAAAACAAAATGGTGACAATCTTGATTCTATAGTATTTTAGAGATGTTTATTAGTTTGAGTAAATCTGAACTAAATTAAAATCTGAATCAAATTAAAGTGTTTGGATCGAATCTTTTTTAAATCAAATAAATTAATAAAATTTGATATTAATTAATTTGGATAATGGATTTTAAAAATTTTATATGTGAATCCTTTACCTGAGGTAACATATTATTTCATATCACTTATATAATCATTATTATAAAAATTAGTAAAAATTAGATAACTTCAACAAAATAAAAATGAAATATCATTTATGATATTTACAACTTATATGAAAAAACGAAAAACGTAAAAAAATTATATTATTATAAAAAAATTCATACCAGTAGATATCTACGTGAATCCGCTTTGAAGTTGACGGAAAAAATCCTCTTTGACTGAAGTTAGGTTTGGGTTTGGGTTTTCTTCGATTTAAAAATATGTTGACGGGTTGGATAATAGAGACAATAATACTCATTCCGAACATACCCCTGTTTATTTCATTATATACATTATTATTTATTTTTGATAATTTATAATATTAAATATGTGGTAAATATTTTAGTAATTTGATTTGTATTTATAATTTGAAATATATGTCTGAAATTTTCTAGATTGTTTTATTTTATTATTTATAATATTATTTGATTTAGGAAAAAATAATTATTTTTATTAAAAAATAATTTCACTAAATAGATAGTGGTGGGATAGAGATACTTGAACTTAACAGAAATTCATTTGAGACGAGTTTAGATTTTAATTCTTAATCTCCGTTTGAGTTTGAGACGGATAATAGAGATTATTTGAGGATTCAAATTTAGGTTTGGGAAGCTAAAAACCTTCCCCAACCCACTCATTGACGATGCCTAGATCTAACCCAAACTAAACCAATTATTTCTTAATTTGGTTTGATATGAATTTTATCAAAAAAATATAAAAATTCAATCTAAATCAATTCATATATTTTTTATTAATTTAAATATTAAATTCTCTCAAAACCAAATCAAACCAATTCAAGATCATCCATGAAATGTCCTTTATTATATCAATAATTCATTTTCCTTATTAAACAAAAACCAGCCACAAATCATTTAAGGTAAAAACCTCAAAATGAGTGAATAATCAAATTCCAACAAAGAGACAATAACTACTACTAGTATCTAGCTAAGTATTAACAAAATCACTTGCATTTTTTGTGTGTAAGATCTACCATATTGGTGATTAAAAATAAAAGGAAAAAATATCAATTCACGAGGCAAGAAATTAAAAGAAACTTAAACAATAGCAATCATAGTTTTCATCCCCTTAAACTAACTTGCTCAAATCTCATCAAAAATCAAATCACGAGGCAAGAAAATTTTCCAATGGAACTTGAATTTCATTTTTCTTCATACATACATATACATAGAAAATAAATAAATAGAAAAATAAAAGACTTGATAATTTACATGAAGACAGTTCGAGGGTGATCTGATCCAAACCTAGAAGGATAAGTAGATAAGTTAACACCAAGAGGAATAGCAAAAGTGCTTTCCATAAAAAGCCGTTGATGAAAAGTTTCAACGGTAGCACCAGCTTCAATAAGATCTTTCACAACGTTTCTATAATGTTCTTTAAGACGTTTGAACAACTTAAGATATTGTAACTTAAGCCACTTTACACGCATCCTTCTAAATATTCTAACTATCCCGCCAATTAGTCGCCGTCGTGGTGACTTGCCGCCTAGCCGAACTGTTTGTACTTTCCGCCGTCTGAATAGGGAGATCTTGAGACGGGGCTGCCATGTTACCATGGCGGTTTGAGGAGGAGTAGTGGGTTGTTTGTGATCTAGAGTCATGGAGAGAGAGAGAGAGAGAGTGTGTGAGAGAGAGATGTTTAAGTTAGTATATAAAATAAGGGATGATAGGAAGAATACAATATTTACGTATGACGTGAGTGACATGGATAGAGAGAAGAGTTGACTTAAATAAAGCAAGTTGGTAACGCATCTTTGGGAAAACGCAAATTATTCATTCAAAATTCCGGTTTTTGTTATTACAATAAATATTGCTCATCATTTAAATTTGAAAAAAAAAAAAAGTTAACATTTGTCTCAAGGATATAAATTAATAAATTATTTATAGTAATATTATTTTAAAACGCGTATATTTAATGTATAGGCATAGAGCAGAATATGTAGGCATGACAACGGTGTTAGAAATATAGTTTTTTTCAGACGAAATGCATGTGTATGGTGTATGTCGAATAGTTTATTGTATATGTTATAAGTAGTATTCGACAGAGTCGAATACAACAGATATTGTAGTATGTCGAATTCATGTTTTGGATTTTAGCGTGTTTTATCTAATTGAGTCTGGACATTGTTTGCTTACATAAAGGGCTGCTAAATTTGTAATTTTGTGTGTAATCAATAACAGATTTTTATAATTCAGTTAGAATCACACCAAACTTTCAATCTCTCTCTCTCTCTCTCTCTCTCTCTCTCTCTCTCTCTCTCTCTCTCTCTCTCTCTCTCTCTCTCTCTCTCTCTCTCTCTCTCTCTCTCTCTCTTTTCTTATTCTTCTTCCTCTTCTATAAATCATCTTTCTTAAAAACTCTTTGTTCCAACAAATTGGTATAACAGAGTCCGGTTGCGATTCAGAGAGAATCTAATAGCAAACGAAACAACAAAGTCAACACGGTTTTCAATTAATCTACCGGTTTTCAAAGGTCAAAACTATCAGCGGTGGTTGCGCAGATGAAGGTTATCTTCATATTTCAAGATGTTGAAATCTTGAATGATGGAGTATCAGAACTGGAAACAAATGCGACGAAAATTCAGAAAACTGCGCACAAAGATCAAAGGAAGAAAGACGGTAAAACCTTATTCTTGATTCATGAGTGTGTGGATTCTGATGTATTTGAGAAGATAATTGAAAAAGAAACGGCAAAAGGAGCCTGAGACAAGTTAAAAAACTTGTATGATGGAGATGAGAAATTGAAGAAGGCGAAGTTGCAAACGCTAAGGAAGCAATATGAGATGCTTCAGATGAAAGAAAATGAATCAATTTCTGCGTATTTCTCAAGAATTCTGACGCTAACAAACCAAATGAAGGCATGTGGTGAATCGGTTACGGATTTGCAGAAGATTGAGAAAGTGTTAAGATCTTTGACTGCGACTTTGACTACATTGTTGTGACAATTGAAGAGGCCAAGACTCTATCTGAGATGAAGTTATAAGAACTTCAAGTTTCACTAGAGGCTCATGAGATGAGGTTGAAGTAGAGAAACTCAGAAAGAGAGAAGGTGGCTGAACAGGCTTTGCGATCAAGATTCAGCAAGAAAGCTGGAAAAGAGAAGTCGAAGCAGCGAAAGAATCTTGCTAGTGATGAGAATTCAAGCAAGAATACTGATTCGATCAAGAAAGGTGTGGGAAACAAGTATTCTAGGAAGAAAGTTGACACGAAAGAGGTGTAGTGTTACAATTGTCAAGGTTTTGGTTATTATGCTCGAGATTGTCGAAGAAAGAAAGCAGCAAAGGCGAAAGATAGTGATGAAGTTCAATATGCACGATATGGAGATAATGATTTTGATGGTGTGTTGTTGATGGTGAACACTCAGTCAAACACTGAGAAAAATAACATGTGGTACAAAGTCTTCATTATCGAACAAATGCTCGACATCATTGCGTCACTTTTTCTACGGGCATCCCGTGAAGACACTCGGGGAAAACTTCCACGATTTCCCCGCGAACGCAATGCACTTTCTCACTCGAGCACCTCGAGAAGGAAAGTTCAGGGAAAAAATTTGTGTGTTCCCGTGAGCGGAGGCATCTTCCGAAGAAATGCGTGAAGGCAGGTAGTCCACGCACCAGCCGAGGCGAGTTCTCCATAACAGATTACTTGCTCCATACACGCCCCCCTTTTTGACGGGAAAGAGGGCGCATCTATGAAGAATGGACGAGGAAGTCGATAATTTGGCGACCATGTAATCCCTGACCAAAATAGTCATACGTTTTTATGGGTAACGTCTCCCCGACAACCAAGTTGGTCTTAAGTCATCACTCTTTCGTCTAAGAGCAATAACTTGGGGGACTCCTGTTCTGGGATGGGCTGGAACTTGGCCCACTGTTGAACAAACCCAATCCATCACCTCTGAGGCCCAATGGAATCCATCCCGCATTGACAACCGTTAGGGATTTCGCACGTGCCTCTTAGGCAGACATGGACAACAACTATCCATAACCACCACTATTCTACCCACCAAGAATAACGGATCCAACTTTCCTATTATCTCGGGGAAGTTGATCATGGAGGAGGCTACGTATTGGACTCCATACACACGTAACCCTGGTAATCTATGTTATTGGGCCTAACCGCGTGGCCCAATGCGTAGATCTTGGCCCAATGCTGGGGGCTATAAATACCTTCTCACATGTGAGGGTCAAGTATTCACTTTTTCCATACTTTCATTACTTGCACTTGCTCTGAACCTTACTTTGGAATCAGAGTATCTTGTAAGTACACCCTTCCACCCACTTCACTTCAACAACTATCCAATTTTAGCTTGTGGGCCATCGATAAACCCATTCTGGTCAGGTACGATCAGTTTGGTTGTTATTTTTCTTTATCTCACACGTCATTGTTCTTGGTGTGGTTGAATTCTTCTTTTAACAACAAGTGGTGTCCACAGTGGAGAAAACGATCTAAGTTTACAAGTAAGCAATGTGGATTCTAAATGGAATATCAAAAAATTTAGCGGAGACAATGTTTTTTTTTTATTTTGAAAAGTGAAGATTCAAACAATTTTGATTCAACAAAAATGTGTATAAGAATTGAAAGGTGGGGATTTGTTGTTGCAAATACTGACACATTATATTGAAATAGTGGATAAGGCGTGACATTATCTTGTGTCTTAGAGATAAAGTATTGATGAAAATCTCCAGAGAGAAGATTACGACATAAATGTGTGTCAAGCTTGAATCATTGTATATGACCGTGTATATGGCTCATAGGTTATATTTGAAACAACAACTTTTCTCATTTCAAATGGTGGAGAAAAAATTCATTATGGAGCAATTGGAGAAGTTTTATAAAATTATTGATGAATTTCAAAATATGAAGGTGAAAATTGATGACGATGACAAGACATTATTATTGTTAAACTTTATAACTTAGATCTTTTGAGCATTTTAAGAATGATCTTTTTGTAGTATAAGAAATACATTATCTCTTCGGAGGAGTTCCAATTGATTATTACAACCAAGAAGTTAATCAAGATGAAAGAGTTGAAGGTTGAAGACACCTTAGAAGACTTTAAAATTTCAATAGGGAGTGGTAGGAGTAAGGGAACCAAAATCTAGCTCTAAGTCCAAGGGGTTTGACAATTCTTAGTACAAATGCTTCATTTTTATAAAACCGATCACTTTAAGAAGGATTTTTTTTTTTTGCAAATGGGATTGTAAGGGGGTTTCTATTTAAATTGTGATTGAATCATATGAGGATGATTATGAGAGTGTGGATGTGCTAGTGGTAATTAGCTTGGAGATGGAAAAAATTTGAGTCATGGACTCAAAATGTTCTTGTCACGTGTGTTCAAGAAATGAATATTTTGAGAGTTTTGAATTGAAAGAAGATAGAGATGTTTGACTCAATAACATTAAGGTTTATAAGGTTCCCTGATATTGAGGCTATTAGACTCAAGATGTTTGACAAACTTAAGTTTCTTTCATGCAACATGAGATATGTTTCCGAGCTTAAGAAAACTTGGTATCTATTGATATATTTTGGCTATTGTATTAGAATTGTACATGGCATGTTAAAAAATTTGTGTGGTGCGTTGATAAAATGTGTATTTTGTTTGTTTTGGATGATTCTAATGCTATTATAAATGCATCATTAGCAAATTAGTACTTTTATGATAAAATTAAAATATGACATTTGATATTAGAGCTTGTTAGTAAAAATGGTTTGGTTGAACCCGCTAAGCAAAGCTTGATAGATAGTGATAAATTAAATAAACTAGAATTTTGTGATCATATACAACATAGAGGTAGTGTTTGAAAATGGTATGTATAATTCTAGTAGGTCGTTTGAGTTTGCACACTCGAATTTTTAAAGCTCTATCAAGAATAGAAACTCACAGTGGATGGTTTATATATTTTTCACTATGATTGATAATTTATATACAAGACTAAGTATTCAAATTTTAAAACACTAAAGTGACACATTTGCAAAGTTTAAAGTGATGTCATACTCTTATAGAATATCAATTGGAAACTAAATTGAAGTTTTAAAGAATTCGCAAAGGCCTGGATGTTTTTTAAAACTGTTTAATGATTTTTTTTTTAAAGAAACTGGGTATAAAAAAACATAAAACTCTAGTTAGAACACCATAAAAAATGACCTAGATAAGTGCATGGATTCTTGGGAGTTGAGTTCGAGTTTTTAGGGGTGAAGTTTTTGTTATTGCATCTTATTTGACCAACAAATTTCCATCTATATAAATAGATTTCAAGACACCTATGGAAGTTTGAAGTAGGAAACAAATGGAATACTCTAATTTATAAGATTTTAAGAGCTCTGGAATTTAAGAATATTAATAAAGACAAACTTTATGACAAATGTAAAATGTGTCTTCATTGATTATCATGTAGGTGTGAATAGACACGGGTTGTAGAAGATGTAATCTGAAGGATCAAAGTTCATTATAAAAGAGATGTTATTCTTGATGAGATCCGTATGGTAATAAAGTGAAATGCCCAGAATTTAAATATTGATAAATTAAGGTGTAAAACACTTAATTTGGGGGTAAAGGTTACAGGTAGTGAAACTAGAGATGGGGAGGATTTTGAGGCAT